AAAAAAATCAAAACCAAAAACAAAATTAACATACATACCACTCCAAGGGAGAGAGGGTTTTACTGTATTTAACATCAGCCTAGAATTCTTTCTAAAAATGTTCATGAGGTCTTGTATCTGCTCTGCAGTTTGTTTTCCATCACCAGAGAAATCCATAGAATTGATGAGATCCTCACAAAAGTTCAGTACAGAGGATGTATCTATATGACCTCCTACAACACCATCTTCTACTTGGAAGTTGGGCAATAAATTGGGCTTGTAAACAAGTACGCAACTTTCAGTCGAAATATTTGATGTATTGTTATCAGTTTCTATAAGACGAAATCCTGCCGCATACAGACACTTGCACTGTTCAGACCATCTTTGTTTACTGGCTATTGTGGAATTATGCTTTTTGCTGACCATACTAAAAATTTCATCACAGTTATGATGACCGCACTGCTGAGCATACTGCAAAAAATGAAAAAAGAAAGTTACAGTCTAATACACCATGTTAAGTACAAATAATTGAATACACCAAGTTCAATATTATTACAGTAGAACCTCGAAACAGTGAATGCAAAACCACATAATTTTTTGTTGGAAAAGGTCACAACTCCTTGATCTGTACTACACGTCGTTGGTCTCTGTTTCTATTGAGTTTTTATTCTATTGATATATTTTGATTGTGTTATGTATTTATATGCTAAAATAAGCATTTTTTAAAATATATATATAAATTTTGTATCCCAAAAAGAACACTGGTTTCATATTACACCCCTACCTCCACATAAGGGCCACCTCTACATGCACAATGGCCACATCCTGGTTTGACTGTATTAAAATCAGCTGTTAAAAAATTAGTCAAACAGAGTTCAGATTATTTTGAAGGACTTTTTTAACACTTTTGGGAGCACGACTGACCACAAAAAAGAGATTTTGCAAGGCTAGGTTCCCACTCCTGTAACATTTGGACCAAGAAGAGGAGCCCCTCATAGTCTGAAGATATATAAGAGAATGCCATTCCAATGACATTTCTTCTCTGGCATTGCTTAGCCCCTGATAAGCCTTTAATTGGCTGTCGCTTGTGTGTGGAAATCAAAAATTGACCAAATAAATGACCATCCACTGATTGTTGTCGATTCAAATCCCAGAGGTCTTACAACCCGGTCTAACATGACCAAGTGAAGGGTTTTTGAGGAGGAAAAACAAACGACAAACTTTATCTGTACCCACTTAGTAAGCAAAGAGAGATGTCTCAAAAGGATGACAGAGCTTTACATTTAGCATATTAAGTGGGTCAGCATAATAACCTTAAAACATAATTAACGGTATGCATAGTATCAGATAGTATGTGAAAACTAACCTTGTTTACAACAGAAATGGCCTCATTTATTAAGCTTAACTGCAGCCTGCATTCGTTGTCTTCTGGATATCGATCATTGAAGGTTAATAACTTCACGAATCCATAGTTTCCGCTGGCAAAGTGTTCAACAAGAACGATATCAAATACAGACACCTCCTGCAAAGTTACAAGGACTGTTTTCATTCGATTTTTCAATGAATGCCTTTGCTGAAGGAATTCTCCGATCCAGTGTCCATCGCCAGAAAAATCAACGTTCAGGAATATTTCTTCGACGAGGTGAAACTCTTCAGCCAAGTTTACGATTCGCATCTTGGATTACGAGATATCTGTGCAGACGGTGTCTGCAGAATTTGTACGCAGAATTTTTCTGCACGGAGATTCCCGAGCTGGTTTTGATGCAAGTGACTCTGAAACAATGGTTGTCCCCAGGGTCTTTGGTGCGTTAAACATTTCGCATTCCTGAGACAGGTACTCTCGGGTACAAAAAGCAAACCACGTTATTTTTAGCTCTGCTATGCTAATGGAGACACCATCAATCGCGAGAAACAAATATTGTAAATGAAACTGAAAACTTAAAAAAGAACCTAAAAATCCCAACTGGTTGAAAGCTGACCAGTTATCTATGGCTCTGTCAATTTTACACCCACCCATCCCCTGCACGGGCATTTGTCGGGCATTTCAAAAACTTTCCCTGCCGGTGGAGGGTATTTGCTAAAACAAGTCTGCCGCGGGGGTCGGGCATTGTCAAGAACAATTTTTTGAAATAAGAACATTAAATTTCCAGACTACTTTCGATAATAATAATAATAGAAAAAGGATTTAATGAACCTTGATGGAGCGCTGCACTTTTCAGGCGAACCTCACCCCAACATGTGCAAAAACGTACAATGTTACTTCCACTCATGAACCAGATGGCAGAAAGAAGTCTTGACTACTTTGCAGGGGAAAACGTCCGAAATTCGAAAGCGCTTACTGTACGTTATTATTAAATAAATAAAATAAGTAAATTACAATTTTTAGAGAGGAGGCCGCATCAACCTTAGCTGGTTTTCATGCTGGTCGAATTGGAATTTGGAGATGTTGGTTCTGTGGAGGGAGGAAACAGGAGACCTTGAAGTAAGGCGAAACTAGGCTACATTGGTCGGGGGCGAGCGTTCTCGCCACTTCGCTATCCCTGCTCCCAAATGGGAGTGTTTAAAAGAGATCGAACTCTGCGAATGTGAATAACCGATTCTAAAAAGATATTAACTGAATCATTCAAAAAAAAATAAAAAAAAATCTAGGGTTCGAGCTTTCAACGTATGGTCAAGGATAGATTGGTAGTGTAGATCACCCTTAAAACACACAGAGGAGCTTTTGGAGGAATTTTAGATGAACTGTATCTATCATGTATCTACTTTGTACGAAGTTTAATCAGGAGCCCCCTGGTTTAATTTAACGTTTATTTTGTTATGTTTGCGCAAACCCATAAGCTACTGAGCTTTATAAAGGTTGTCTGTCTGTCTGTCTGT